CAGCCCTGCCCCTGGCTGGCAGCACCAGCGGACGTGCTCCGGCAGGGCCCCCTTCCCCTCCTTGTCCCCAGCCAGGCCAGCCTGGCCCCCTTGGGGCTGTCCCCACCCTCCTGCCCAGACCTCCAGACCTTCTGCCACAGGCATGGCAGACACCCCGGGCAAGCGCCAGGGCAGCCGGCTGGCAGGGAACCCGGGGACTGCCTGGGCCCTGCTTACAGCCTCTGCCCACAATTGTTCAGGCCTTCCCACACCCTGTCCCTTCAAAGCCTCCTCTGCCCAGCCTGGCCCCTCGCAGCCCCTCCCTCATTCCCCTCAAGGCTTCCCACGCCCATTTCCCGCCAGGGCCTCCTCAGCACCTCAGCCCTTCATGGCCTCCCAGGGCCCCGTCCCCTCAGGGTCTCCCAGCCCTCAGCAATCCACACAGCAGCACACGGGCAGGCCACTCGTGCTGCTTCCTGGCTGGGACAGACCGTGTGGCCACCTCCAAGCACCAGTTTCTCAGGGATCCCACAGCTCCAGGCTCTGCCCATCCGCTCTGCTGCAAGCCTTGAGGCTCCAGCAGAACCTTCCAAGGCCAAGGGCCTTTGGGGCACTTTCCCCTCCCCACGGCACACCTGGGCAAGTGTTGCTGAGCACAAGGGCCCTTCTTCCCCTCTTCCCCTCTGTGGACAACAGGCACTCAAAAAAACTTCCTGAGTCTCTGTCTTTGAGAAGAGGTAGAGATGTATTTGATATTTGATATTAGCCACTCTTGGAGCTGCTGCAATCTGGAGCAGGGAGCTGTCTGTCCAGCCCTTAGCATGCCCAGTTTGGAACTGACAGGCCTGCCATGCCGACTCTGATGTCCTCGCTCGTTCCTCAGGGCTGGAACAGAGAGGAACGTAGGCTACCGGAATTTGGGTCGGGCTTTAGATTTCGGTTTCGGTGCGGGCTTCTTTTTCGGTTTTGGTTTTGATTTCTGGAAATCCTTGATGATTTTCATGGTTTCATCTGCCCGCTTTTTGATGGCAGGGCTGTCAGCAGTAATGCTTTGAAGGGCTGGAAGAGAAAAGGACGGAGCCAAGATCAGAGCCAGCATCTGCAGGGCCCCGAGGAGCCCGTCCTGCCAGGGCCATCCCACTCAGCTCTTGCCATGGCCAGGAGGGAGCAGGGCCCAATGGGATCAGCCAGAAGGTGCTGGCCACCAACACCCCTCATGGCTCTGGAATCTCTCTCTGCTCTGTACACGCAGGGAACAGAGCCCTCCACACCTGGGGCAGGATTGCAGCTCCCTGCCCAGGGTCTGCGCTCCTCCACCAGCCCCCACTGACAGCCCACTGCCCGCACTCACCCTCAATGATGACCTCTGTGATGGACTCATCCTCCTCCTCCCCCTTTCTCAGGTACTTGGTGGCGATCCCTGGGAACACAGATGCTGTCAGGGCCCCAACAGTGTCACAGCTCCCCCCCAGTGGCACTGCCAGCCCAGCCACACGCCCTCCTGCCCTGACAGGGCTGAGCCCGGGCCCTTCCCGCCTGGGGACGCCCCAGGGCTGGGCTGGCACAGGGCGGCAGCAGCGCCAGGGCACTCGGGGCTCCCCAGCACAGCCCTGGCCGCATCTGCTGCCGCTGCAGCAGCCGGGGCTGGGGCCGAGCTGCAGCGGGGCAGGCAGGGAGGGACCTTGTGGCTCACCAATGAACCTGAGGGCCATCTCTTTCAGGCGCTCCTGGGGGCTCTCCACGTACGGCAGGATCTGGCACATGAACTCCACCACCCTTTTCTTCTCGCTTTCCACCTGCAGAGAGCAGCAGGGCACAGAGGGAATGGTTGGCTGGGGCTCTGCCCCTTGGCCGGGC